CATCACCTCTGCAGGGTTCATCCTCCAAAGTAATCCTCACACAGTAGATCAAGCTGCCCAGGCTGTATAGGCCTTACCTAACTGAGGGAAAAGTTGAGAAGTTAGGTAAGGTTAAAGTGTCTGCATGTGCTTGCTCTATGAATCTGTCCAATTCATGTGTTCCTGCTACCCAGTGAACAGCAACTCATTCTGGCCAGGCCCAGCCTTCCTTCATAGAATCCCACAATCCCAGAGGTTGGAAGGGATCTCTAGAGATCATCTAGTCCAGCCCTCCTGCTCCAGCAGGGACACCCAGASCAYGGGGCACAGGGCGGCATCCAGGCGGGTTTGGAAGATCTCCAGAGAAGGAGACTCCACAGCCTCCCTGGGCAGCCTGTGMCAGGGCTCTGGCACCCTCACAATGAAGAAGTTCTTCTTCACATGCAGATGGAACTGCCTGTGTTTCAGCTTATATCCATTGCCCCTTGTCCTGTCACTGGCCACCACTGAAAAGAGTTTGGCCCCATCTTCCCTACCTTCTCCCCTCAGATATTTGTACATATTAATCAGATCTCCTCTCAATTTTCTCTTCTCCAGGGAAAACAGGTCCAGCTCACTCAGTCTCTCCTCATACGAGAGATGCTCCAGTCCCTTAATCATCTTTGTTGCCCTCTGCTGGACCCTCTCTGGAAGCTCCATGTCCCTCTTGTCCTGGGGAGCCCAGAACTGTCCCCAATACTCCAGGGGTGGCCTCCCCAGAGCTGAGCAGAGGGGCAGGATCCCCTCCCTTGCCCTGCTGTCAACACTGCTCCTGACGTAGCCAGGATCCCATTGGCCTTCTTGGCCACATCTACTTGTGGCCACATTTCTTAGGTTGTCACCTAAGAGATAAAACACCCTAAAGAAGCCAAGTCAAAGCAGATCTGCTGAGGGAGCTGACTTGAGCAACCAATGTGCTGATTTCCAGCATTTTCCAAGAGGCAGGGTGTTCAGAGAGCCTTGCAGAAAACACAAGACGCAGGATAAACTGCTTCAGAAATGTACCAGACATCAGCTTTSAGAGCACAATAGGTGACTTAGATGTTTTCCTTTGTGTTATAAGGTTTCCTTGTTTGGAAGGAAGCAGTGAAGGGCAGGACACTCTCATGGCTCCAGATTGCCTTACGCTTCACATGGTGTTGGCTTCCTGGAGGTGGGTGGCCTTCCCGTGCATAGAGTGACTTGCTGATAGAGAAAGTGCAAAATCTTACTTAATCATCCGTCTTCCTCTGAAATCATGATGCTGGGGGAGKAAAGTTCTTGGAGATTTTTACTGAACAGAATCAGTATCTTAAAGGGACTGCTATCATATATTTAGAGCATAATATTGCTAAACCGGAGTAACATTTAAAAAATAATATTGCTAAATCTCATTGCTGTTTCACATCTAGAATAGCCAGCATGCTTAAAAGCTTGTCCATATTCTTGCCATGATATGGGCTGATTCCACAAAGATATTCTCTTAAAATTTTTGATTTCTTCTACTTTTAAGTGGAAGAAACTAGTTTAGAAAAAGTTATTTTGGTTTATGATTCCTTCATTGCAGACAGAAACTTGCATAGATACCTCTGCTTCTCATAGATACTTTTCTATATCTAACAGCTCTTTCTGGTTCTCGTTTCAGAAGCTCTTTAGCATTAGCCTGCGTGCCAATTTTGATGGCACTAGGAGTTTACTACAAACTGCATTTCTGTCTGTGCTGTTTTCCAACTGTGGTTTTGCTATTTTTAGAGCTTTATCAATAGATAGTGTTGTGGGTAGTGGTGCTAGTTTGCTTTTTATGAAAGTTTTTTTTGTTGTTGTTATTCAAAATAATCTACAAAACACTGCCAGAATTTCTTTTGATGTCACGGACATTTGGCTCAGTTCTTAAGCCTTTCTTTCCAGAAGACTCGCAGATGATGATACTATTTTTGTACAGAGGTACTGAATATTGGATGCTATCATGGGAATAGTAGGTATTCACACCTGCAGGACAATCCAAGGTCTCCCTCTTGCTTTGCAGMTGCTCATCTTTCCACTCATCTAGAGGCAAGTTTTAGAAAAGAGGTTTCTGAGCTCTGCGTATTCTTATTAAGGAACTTTTCACCCATCTGGAAAGACAACTGTGTTCCCTTGTTTTCCTTCTTTTATGCTCCCCTCTGCAGGAAAACCAAACCACAGATGTCTGAATGTTAAGGGGCGGGGGGAAACTGTCATATTTCGTTGTCCTGACTCGCTGCACATTAAAAAGGATGTTACAGCGTGAAGCTCACACAGATGCTGCTGCGTGCAGGTGGATGTTAAGTTTGTAATCCCGAGGGTACATAATGTATTGCCTCTACAATGTCTTTTTAATAGCAAGTAGCAGCACAGCCAGTGCTTTTCCTCCTGCTCCTTCAAAATGCTGCCTCATTCTAGCAGAGGATGGTGTTCAAAAAAAAAGGGGAGGGGGTAGCTAACTATCGTTAGGTCACATTGAATAATATTGACCACTGCCTCCAGCAAGGTGTGAAGCATTTCTCTTTTCTGTTCTCTTGAGGATYGAGTTCTAGGTTTTTGCTCTCATCCCTCAGTGTCTAACCACATTCCTGGACACAGTCCAGTTCTGTTAAAATACTGCAGTTGCCTCTGTGCTGCAGCGGACGCACTGGCGGCTGCATACAGAAATCYCACGCTGCGCCTCTGCTTGACTTCTGTCAACTGGCTCAAGGATTTGTCACTTTGACATGCTCATATCAGATGTGCTTCTCTTTATTTACTGCTTTTTTTTGATATAATAATTTGTGTAACATTTRGGTTTGGGGTTTAAAAGAGAAAAATCCACTTAAAAGTTTCCTTTATATTGAAATGGCTATAAAATGATCACTGTTTATCACAAYTGCTTTAAAAAAATAACAAAAACAAGCTACAGAAAGTAGCATAATGAGCACTGCATAAACCTATAAGGAATAACAGAAATCATTTCTAATAAAAGAAACTGTAGGTCAAGACTAAGTCTGCTCAGTTATACTTGCCTAGACAAATTATTGGTTTTGTCCTTGAGGTGAATGCTGTGAATTCACTTTTGGAAAGTCTGATTGGAAAGTCCAGAAAACACAAATGACTCAGAATGTTTCTGTTGCACTCACTAAGGGATGAATATTCATACTTCAAAAAGAAAAAAAAAAACCCTCACTCACCCAATCAACCAACCCCCCCACCACAGTTTACCCTTCAGCTTCCCAGCTGCYTCCCAATTTCCTATTTATGTTTAGGTCTATTTTCACTGTAAAGGAAACCTCTTCTCCTCAACCATATTGAAGAACTGGCAAAATGTTGAGAAAAAAAACCCTCCTTTTATACATCAAGATGGTCTCAGCACCATCAAAACCATTTTTCCTTTAGCAAAAACAAAAGCGGTGGCGAAGCAGTATTTGGATGCGTAAAGACGAGTAGGCTAACCGCCTGCAAGCCAAAATTGAGCGAGTTGTGTGTGGGTGAATCGATGTTATTCATCGGTGGATTTGGAGCATGTGGTAGTCCGGGAGGACGCCGGGTGCCTCGCGACCAGGGGCACCTCCGTGYGGATCATCTGATCCGCCCCCGTCGGAAGCACCAGCTGAGGGTCCAAACTTGGGCGCGCGACTGGACGTGGCAGCTCCCTTTTGTTCTGCAGCGCGGAGCTCTTCTGCATTCCTGCCACGTACCGGCCTGTATCTCATTGCCTCTCGCTGCTATCCATCTACCGCGGGCGTGTTTTGATGGAGGAACCTGCCCAAGGCCAGAAGACCTTCTGTTTTCCAAAGCGACAAGGGCCACCTAGTTGGTTAATTTGGAAAACTTAGTTTTGCACTTGGGGGAGGAAAAAAAAAAAAAAAAAAAAAGAAACAACTTTCATTTTTGGCAGGCTGGGTCGCTGTGTTTTCATTAGGGATGATTCAGTGCTATGGAAGATCAGTGTTTACACTGATTATAAATATGAACTGCTACTTCTGGGGATGGCGTAACACTGGAGAAATGATGGCAAGTACTTAGCATAATATGGTGGAGTGCATACAGCAAGTTCAAAAAAAAAAGAAAGGAAAAAAAGGCCTTTCTTTTAGGTTTGAGTGATGCACAAATAAAAAAAAAAAAAAAAAAAAAAAAAAAAAGAAGAAGAAGAAGAAAAAAGAAGTGGAAGAAGGGCATTTTCTCCCCAGAGAGAGTGAAGGAGAGATGCCTCCTTCCAGAAACGTCCTTTGCGGGGGACAGCAGATGACCAGCGCCGCAGACGCGCCCCGGTCCTCGCCGCGATCTCCGCACGGTGGCGGAGCGGAGCCCCCTGGGCAGGAGATGATTAAAAAACCCAAAGTGGCCAAGCTGAGAGGCAGAGCGGCCGCAAAGAGGTGCTGCCGCCGGCGCCGCTGCCTGCGCGCACCGCCGCTGTCCGCCCGTCGTGGCCGGCGACTACGTGGAAGGGGCAGAGGGGACCTGCTTTTCCCTCAGCACCAGCGGCTGCCGCTGGCGGCCAGTAGCGGCGATGGCCTTTGGTAGCGGCGCTGGCCGTTGGTAGCGGCAGCCGTTGGCAGAGCGGCCGTTGGCAGAGCGGCCGTTAACAGCGGCGGCGCCGCACGCGCCCGGCACGCCCGGCCCCGCCCCCGCGG